GAGGCGGGTGCATCGGACACCTCACAAAACTACTTTCGTGAAAACCAACTCAGCAATATGGCAACTCAACAAAATTGCTTCCACGAAAATAATGAAAAACGTATTCGGGAATTATTCGCTCTTCTCCCGAGAGGGGGCATCTTCCTCCTGATTCCTCCTGAGAATAATTTCGTGGCGCGTGACAAAATATCAATAACAACCAGCCTCACCGTCCACTGTAGATCCATCGTTGATAGCAGCATATTATGAACACTATGTCGTCACGAAAGACCGAGAACTTGTGTATTTCCGGCATCCTGAAAATTGCGGTTATCCAACACTGTGTAGTATTAGAATATATGTTCGCTTTTTTCAGCTCAGGAGTGTGCGGATGCGAACCCATTCTAGTTAAGCTGTTGTGCGAGGGACATGTACGATGTTGGTCTCAGTTAGGATCTTCTTAAACTTAGTGCTCATGAACTAACCACCTTGATCGCTCATTATAGCTCTAACCATAAAAGGTCACACACGAATTCGAATAGGAAAATGCACAGAAACCAACAAGAATCCACCAAAATTCTCATATTTTCATCAACACATGTAGCTGACCATGTGCATATTCTCCCACACTATGTACGCCAATGTGATATAAAGGTTGTGTTCTTCCAATTTCTCATGAGTAAAAGCTCGTCGAAGCTTCAACGTAAGGTCACTTCAGATCGGCATCACTTGGATTCTGAATTTCCTCATACGTTTGCTAGTAGTAGACGTGCACTCATCACGCAATACAACCACACGATTTCCCATAAGGCTACATAGTTCAACAACGCAAAATTAGTAAGGAAAGTTGATTCCATACAGCTGAAAATCTCCAACCAAGGATCGAACCCGCGCTCTACTGAAAAGACTTACCTTATGACCAGCGTGAACACGTCATCTATGAACGTGTTGCATGCCTGATACGATAGCGCTCGCCATGGGAGATGCTCGACTGACTTCAGTCGATAGTTGAGGAAAACCTTAAAATTCAACTCCTCCAGATTTGCCGACACGAAACTAACCTGTGGCGTCATAACAACAAAGCCGAAGACTTCTGAGCAAGCAGCCAGGCTCAAGATGACGAACGAGTACCTCGAATGAGTATCATAATTATAATCAACAACAAGGTCAACAACAAGGTCAACAACAACAACAAGGTCAACAACAACAACAACAACAACAACAACAACAACAACAACAACAAGGTCAACAACAAGGTCAACAACAACAACAACAACAACAACAACAACAACAACAAGGTCAACAACAACAACAACAACAAGGTCAACAACAAGGTCAACAACAACAACAACAACAAGGTCAACAACAACAACAACAACAACAACAACAACAACAAGGTCAACAACAACAACAAGGTCAACAACAACAAGGTCAACAACAACAA